AAACATGGATGAAAGAAACTAGACTATTGTGAAATGCAAATGTGTTTTGTAAAGACATGGCCAATGATGCTTAGAGACATTATTAATAGGGTGGTTTACTAGAATGACCTTGTCAAGCAAAGATTTGGACTAGAATGACCTCTATCTTTGAATATTATTAGAACGACCTTGAAAATTTTTTAATTCCTGTGTTAACCTTATTTCATTTGAAGACAAAAAATGTATTTACGAAACTGCCATTAATGAAGCCGAAATTTTTTCCCGCCAAAATTAAATAAGTCTACCATTCTGTTACGGTAGACTTATTAAATGTCTGGTAGACTTATTACGGCGTACGCGATGGTAGACTTATTTATAGTTGTGATAGATTTATAATATGTGGTAGACTTATTCGTAATACTAGTAGACTTAATTTTGGGATCGGTAGACTTATTTGTAGTAGTGGTAGATTTATAAAGTGGTCGGTAAACTTATTACGGTGCAGGCAGTGGTAGACTTGTTTATAGTAGTGGTAGACTTATTGTAAATAGTGGTAGACTTATTGTAAGTTGTGGTAGACTTATTGAGTAGTTACTGTAGACTTATGCGTTGTAGTGGTAGACTTATTTATAGTTGTGGTAGATTTATTTTTGAGTGGTAGACTTATTAGTGGTTGTGGTAGATTTATTGTTGTGATTGGTAGACTTATTGATGGTTCGTGCGATGGTAGACTTATTTAAAGTTATGGTAGATTTATTTGTGAGTGATATACTTATTAGTAGTAGTGGTAGACTTATTAATGGTTTGCGCGATGGTAGACTTGTTTATAGTAGTGATAGATTTATAAGACGTGGTAAACTTATTTGTAGTACTGGTAGACTTAATTTTATGATAGGTAGACTTATTTGTAGTGATGGTAGATTTAATTTTTTGATTGATAGACTTATTGATGTTTAGCGATGGTAGACTTATTTATAGTAGTGGTAGATTTATAATATCTGATAGACTTATATTTAGTGGTGTTAGACTTAATTCTGGTTTCGCTCGATGGTAGACTTGTTTAAAGTTGTGGTAGATTTATTAAATTTGGTAGACTTATTTGTCTTTGTGGTAGACTTATTAAATCATTTCAGAGTTTTACTAGAATGACCTTACTTAATTACAGTTGTGGTAGATTTATTTATAATAGTGGTAGATTTATAATATGTGGTAGTGGTAGATTTATAATATGTGGTAGACTTATTTGTAGTAGTGGTAGACATATAATATTTATTTATAGTAGTGGTAGATTTATTCAATGAAGGACAAAATCGTAATTTACCCTTCATCTTCTCCAACACACCCAAGCTTATGTCAAACCCTAACAATGGCGACCAACTCATTTTTAGCTCGTTTTTGCTGTGTTTTAATTTGTTTTCAACTGGGTTTAGCCTAAAACTAGTAGATCTAATATCATATATCCATTTTCTAACAAAAAATCAAAAGATTTTGAGTTTTTTTTCAACTTTTGATTTTTAGTTCAATTTTTACATAAATCTCGGTGCTTCTGCAGCCTCCCCACCTTCGCCGAGCACGATCCGGTGCTTCCGCAGCCTCTGCGACGGTGGTTTTAAACAAATATTTTATTTATTGGTTTAAAGAATTTCCAACGTATACATGTGGTGGTAGACTTATTGGGTAGTTATGATAGATTTATAAGTTTTTTTTTTTTAGGTTTCAGGATGGCAATTGCGTAAATAAAATAGATTATTAAAATTTATTTGTCTTTTATCGAGTTGTGTCAAAATACTAGATTTGACAAAGTCATTCTAGTAATTACCCTACTTTCCAAAGTCATTCTAGTAATTAACTCTTATTAATACTCGTACATTATATTTGCGAAGACAGAGGTATGGGTGCTTGCGGTTGAAGACTTGCAACTTTGACTCCTAAAATTTTTTCATATAGTATTTAATAAAACAATTGATTAAAAGATATTTTGAAAAAGGGTAAATAAAGCTCTAATATCAATTACACACGTTTGGAAAATAAGAAACCAATTTGAGTCAATACAAAAATCTGTTGAGACAAAATGGGTAATAACCGAGGAAACTTGGCAGTTCTTTCACCGCGTCCGCATTCTTTAAAAGTTGACCTACATATTTTCCATTGATTTTCCACGAAAAGAAATATTAATTGAAGTTTACACTGATCAATGTCTTTTGCTTACAACTCGACTTCTTTTCCTTCTCTTGTGCAAGAAAAGCACAATACTATGTTGTTAATCATACTGTTGCAGTCAATACAACAAGGAATTTTCTTTGAAAAAAAAATCTTTATGTCAAGTTTGGAAGAAGTGTTATTTGGCATACACCTCATGTGAAGTCCTTTGAAAAGTTTGTTTAGTACAATTGGCTCAAAAATCGTCAACAAAAAACATCATAATCGAAACTTTTGTCAGGTATTTTCACCTTTCATCAGAGACATATCAAGGTCGTCATGGTGTAAGCACCTTGCCACTCCCCAAATGTAAGAATCCTGACAAAAACATACTTCTCGCCCCCTCTCCCCCCCACGTTTCAGAAACAGATCAATAGTTGCAGTTATAATTTATAAACAAAACTTATAGTAAAATCGACTACCTCGATAGGTGTATATATTTTCTTCTGAAGAAATTCTTTTAGTGCTAAGGGAAATCTTCGCCTCTATATTCCACCCAGGACGTAAATTTTTATAATCAGAAGCAACGAAATACACAGATACGTATTTTTTCTCCAACGTAATTTTTCCATTAGGATACACCAATATTCTCCTGAAAACCCAACAGCTTCAAATTAAGGGGAACGAACCCCATATGCTTTTAATATTCTAATATTGCTATCACTTTTGTTCTATATTGTAGCAACGAATTAGTGTGCCCTTCATGCACAAGAGAAGGAAAAGAACTAGAGTTTTTGGCGAACTACATATGCATCCTCATATCAACTAGTACATTCTGACTTTGTAGAGATTTGATTTCGGGACTTAAGC